ACGGAAATGTGGTTGCTGAGGACCCTACAATACAAAAAGTTGTAGGCGGAAGCTTTCTGGGACATCTTGCCCAAAGCCGTCATGAAACCAATTTCGTAGGAGAAAGAAACTCCAAGTGCCTCTTGGTAAAGGGATAACGGTTGCCGATCTACAGAATGCATCTTCCACCGAGCCTCTCATAGATTCGTCACAGCCCTCCACTTCTGGAATCCAGAACAGGAGGAGCTCAAATGAGCATCTTGGCGTTTCAGATTCTGATGACAGCTTACCTGTGATCGAAAGGAAAAATCAGAAATCCAAAAGAACAAGAAATGATTCAGAGAGCTCAGATGATAGCATTCAGAGCGTCAAATATGCTGAAAGTGACGATAGCCCTTACAACCCCGAACTGTCCGATGATGATGTCAGTGTAGAACCAGTCAAAGAACCTGCATCTTCCAGGAATACAAAAAAAAAATGGAAATTACGTTTTGGTTACTTATGATGAGAAATATTATCCCAGACAGATCACGGAAATTCATAATCTTGGAGCAATTGTGAATGTTATGACACCCTATGGAAAGCAATGGAAATGGCCAACTCACAAAGACGAGATATTTTATAGCAATAAAAAAATGATAATGCCTATAAAAACACCTGAACGTCGTCGTGGTCATCGAGAAGTTTTCGATGTTCCAGAATTGAAAAATGTGGTTCAAAATTAGGCCTACTTATATGAATTTGTTTTCTGCATTTCAAAACGAATAATATTATTTTTTTTATCATTATCTTGCGATTAAAGCTTCTTGAGAAATTTTGAATGTTGTTTTTTTCCCTAATATATATAAAAAAATGCGAAAATATATTTTATGCTTGCTATTTCATTCTTATTCGATTTGCAATGTCTATCTTTGGAACACAGGCCCATAACTTCGAAATATTCGTCTGAAAAGCCAGTGTACCAAAGTTACCCCAACTGACGGGGTAAGATTGTGACACTTTCAAGGCCAAATATATCAAAGTATGATATGAATAAATTATGTTTCCGACCCAATTCATACTTGGGAATGTTGGTACATTGATATTCAGTGCTTAAAACCCAATTATTTGTGCAAGATCAAGTTTTATTCAAGAAAAACATGAAAAATCGAACCAAAGTTACCCCGGTTTACGGTAGTTTGTTTTTCTGAAACTTGGTTTTGTGAACATGAAAGTAACCTTTATCAGTTTGATCATCTTTATGTAGGCTCATCATTTTGTAGAAAAAATTCTAAAGGTGGTACTATAATATACATCAACAAGGCAATATCGTCAAAACCTATAGAGAAATAATTGAATGACATGTCCATTGAATGTCATTGTGAAATTGCAGCTGTTGAACTCATGAATCGATACATTATTGTATTATGCATTTATAGGAGACCTAGCGGAGATGTAGAAACATTTTTTCAGGTGTTGTGGTGTTGATGGAGGTGATGGAATTTTTGGACAATACAGGTAAAGTTGGGGTTATCTGTGGGGATTTCAATATCAACTTACTGGAACAAAACAATATTACACTGAATTTTGAAAATCTACTTGCGAGTCATGGTTATAAACCAACAATTTATGAACCAACAAGAGTAACTAATACACACGAATCATGCATTGATAATATTTTAACATCAATTGAGAATGAGTTATTCACTTCCAGAGTGATAAAAATAAATATATCAGATCATTATGGTCAACTTTCATCATATAAGGTATCAAAGAACGTAAAACATAGAGATACAAAGCGAATTAGGCCAATTAAACAAAAGGGAAAAGAAACCATGGTTGCAACGTTATGTGACACACAGTGGGATGGTCTGATCGATTCGAATGAGATAGAACGTAAAATTAAATTAAGAAAATATCTGATCAGAAAATGTTTCTACTCTATTCAGGAATTCACAGCCTTATTGACACATAACATGATATAGATTCATAAAACTTCTAGTTAACAATACCGAAATGTGATATTTATAGAACTAAGTGTATATATGTTTGTTTGACCAATGTGATCATGTTTATTGTTATTTATTCTATTTCCTTTATTTTTTTTTTATTTTTCTATTAATTATCGAACGATTTTATTTATATATATAAGTGTGAACATTTTACAATGTAGTAAACACTATAAATACAAATACAAATATCCCAAGGCTTTAGCCGAAGGGAATAAGGTCCCGTGGTAATTATATACTTTACTACCAAGGTGTATATTACATTTTTTTCACCAATAGCAATACATTTCATTCATTTTAGTTCTGTGAATCTGAAATATAAACCTATTGTCACTATGAAATCACTTTTTTTTATCGCTTGTAGCCCACGAAAGGAAATCCCTATAATGTTCAAAGAACATCATCGTGCGTTCCTAGGAAGGATAGGGACAGGAGGTAGGTATTGGAATTTTTTTGAACTTCTGGAGATTATATGTTGTTGGGAATACTTCCTCAGGCAATAAATTCCAGAGCCTGGCCGTTCTATGGATGAAGGAGTTTTGATAAAGTGCTGTTCGACATCTTTCGAGGTTGACAACGGAAGGATGTGCTGACTGGGTTTGTCTAGTTCGTCTGACTGGTATTGCTAGTGGAGGGATGAGAGCAGAGATTTCTGAAGAACATTTCCCGTGGAAGTATGGATAGAAAAGTGAAAGGTCGCCGACCTTCCTACCGTGTTCCAATGATGTCAAAGAGTGAGTGAGTGTGGCGTTACCCACCAGGCGAATGACTCTTCTCTGGATGGAATCGAAGAGCATCAGCATATGTTTTGGTGCTAAATTCCATATGTGAAAACAGTTTTCTAGAACAGGCCGTATCTGCGCTTTGTAGATCATGAGAATCTGTTGAGGTGTAAAGTAGCTTTTCGCACGGAACAAGAATCCGAGTTTTTGTGAAGCAGCTTTTGCGATGGATCTAACATGTCTATCCCATGAAAGAGTGTTGCTGATGGAAATACCGATCATAGATATGGTGGGCTTGGTGGGGATAGTGGTGCCAGACATTTAAATATCGGGCATACTGAGTTCCGCCTTTCTAGAGAAAATAAAGGCTTGAGTTTTGGTGGCATTGAATTCAGCTAGGTTGTTGGTTCCCCAGGCTATGATTTCAGCAAGGTCTTCATTGACAGCATTAACCTGCCTGCGCCGTTAGTTCTTAGTTTCCTGGGAAGACATGGGAATTCTGGAAGAGAATGCAGTATGGAGGGTACTATCATCTGCAAAGCTGTGGATGGGGCAAGTTGTTACTCCCAACAGATCATTGATATGAAGAAGGAATAATGTTGGTGCCGAAATTGATCCTTGTGGAACGCCGGAATTGATGCCAATGGTATCAGACGATACACCGTCCACCACCACGTGAAGCGATCTGCCTGAAAGAAAACTCGATAAGAGATGGCATAGCTGAGGTGGTAAGCCGTATGATGGTAGTTTGTGGAGGAGTCCTTCGTACCAAACACAGTCGAATGCTTTCAATATGGCCAACGCAACAGCTAGAGATTCCCCGTGTTATTCTAATGAAGCTTGCCATAAATGGGTGACGTAGGCAAGGAGATCTCCAGTAGATCTTCGGTGGCGAAAGGCGTATCGTCTATCATTGATGATTCCTGAGCTCTCCAGATATTTGATAAGCTCAATATTGATGGCTTTCGCCATCACTTTGGATATTACTGATAACAGGGCAATTGGCCTGTAGTTGTTGGTCAGGTTCTTGTTCCCTTTTTTGGGGATTGGTTGGACTCTAGCTGTCTTCCAGCATGATGGAAAAATACCCGACCTGTACGAGACGGGAGACGGTGAACAACTTGCAGAGAATCGGTGTTAATTCTGGTGCACATTTTTTGAGGATAATGGGTGAAATTCCGTCAGGACGGTTAGCCTTATTCGTTTTGAAACCAAGCAAAATTCGTCTGATACTGCGTTGACGGAAGACGATCTCGGGCATTCGAAGTAGAGTTTGCTGCGAACATATCTGCAAAAATATTTGCATTCTCCTGCGATGTTGTTGCTAATGTGCCGTCGGATTTGGACAGTGGTGGAAATGAACTAATAGTGAAATTTCTTCCGACCGCTTTAGCAAGGGACCAAAACGAACGGGAGCCATTAGGACAATCTATGAGTTTCGATCTTATCTTGGCATTGTATGTTTCTTTCGAAGCATCTATTGTTTGTCTGCAGGTTTTTCTGGCATCAACGTATTCTGCTCTAGTCGCGAGGTTAGGGTTTTTGCGCCAGCGATCGGTAGGCTGTTTGTTTCAAGGCAACAGTTCTAGAACAGTTTTGTTGAACCAGGGTTTCGATGGTGATGATCTATTCGAAGAATGAGGTATGTATGTGTCCATTCCGAGCATGATGATCTCGGATATTTCCGCAGCACACTGTGAAGGGTCCTCAGTTATTTTCCATTCAAATTGAAATCTGGTAGCCATGACCATGACAGCATATGACAAGTGAATTCGGGTTAATTATTATCTAATTAACAGATGTGGCTATGTCTTTATTGACTATTCGCGATAGAAAATAAGCGTACGCCACCTATCGGAGTACTTGAAAGCTGTCAAAGCGGCATGTTTACTTTGTTTTCATTGGTTCACATTTGTTTTCTGTTAGTGTTCATTGGTCATATCATCAGAGCAAACCGCTCAGAAGCGTTCAAGTGGCTGCCGTCAGGTGGGGCGACGTGTTATTTTTTATTGCGAATATATAGTGGTTATTAAAATGACGAAAACTACCTTGGTTTTAAAAACACACTTTACGCCTCGAAAAATAGTAAATAATGGTAGGTTTTAGAGCTATAGTGGTGGAAAAAAGGAATAAACCACTTGATTTGCACTGGATCAACAATGTATGAGCGATAAATGGAAGTACTGCCAATATATGCCAATATTGTGCCGATGGTAGTTCACTGAAGTGAGGTTGCTTAAATAGTAATGGCCCATGCATTAATGTTCGCTGGAATAATTTGAGATCCCGAAAATTTAAGCAAAATAACTACCTGTTTCCTCTTGTGTGATGGTACAGTGCTGAGTTTACTCCCAGTAGGCTGAGGATCTAACACGTCCCCGCAACATTTGGTCGCTTTCTCTGTTTCACATTCCTTATCCAAGTTACTTTCTAGATAAACTGGTGATGGATCTAGTGCTCGAGGAGTAAGAAGTTTCTTGCTTGACGAAGCAAGTCTCGAACTGCTCGCGTTCTGCCCTTTGGTCATTTTTTCCTTTACAGTAAAACCTTGGTTGGAACCAAGCTGGAGTGGTCTATCAGCCGAATCTTCTGGGTTCGTCGAACACTCCTGATTTCTCTTGCTCTGCTGTGGAGTTATATCATCGCGTTGTTTCCCAAAGTTGTACCTAGGGCTGCGGAAACTGTGAAGGCTGAAAGGGAATTTATCGTTTTTGCTTCTAGGGCTCAGTTCCTCTTTGTAGTTATCGAATCTGGGACTCAAACTGTCAGGGGAGAAGTCACCAACACTGCTTTTGGGGCAATCTAATGATATCACAGTTTTGCTGGTCTGGGTTTGAGTTTCCCTGTAAACTTGCACCTTATTGGGCGATTTACCTAAATTCACCGTTGTCGAAGAATTGAAATTGGTCTGGGTGCTCATGGTTTTGTTTTTTTCACACACGAACGTACCTGCTTCGTCGTGGTTCTTGGGATACACTGAATTTGAAAACAAGGTTTTTCTTCTTCTGGCTTGGTCACTATGTGGCATATTCTAGTCGAGGATTTCTTCTAGATTTTCTTGTCATATTTTTCAGAGATTGATCTTAAAACATTAGAAGATTAATCTGTTTCTGTAACCAGATATCACACTTTGGAATGTGGATTGTGAAATAAATCGTGAAGTGACAGTGACAATGACAAAAATTAACCACAATTTTGACAAAATGGAACGGGAAGGACACTTATTGATATACATAGGAAACTTAAAACCGATGGACACAAAAAAATCCTAAAGTTGAAAAATCTCGATTTTTAACACCCTATATCTCTGTAATTTTTTTCGATAGACCCCAAGTGTAATATATCGATAAAATCAGCTCTTTTTGAATGAAGAGAGCGTATTCTCTGAGATATAAGCATGCACATTTTCATCGATTTCTCCTGACTGATTCTCGATTTAAAGATAGTATGTAAGCTCGTCGTGACATACCCTGTATAGGATGTTCCATTCGATGAAATTGCCGTGGTTGTAAATGTGGAAAATTGAACTTGGAAATCGAAGTGTTTTAGGGAATTTCTGAAAAGTTGACAGTTTGTCTAGAAATTAATGTATTATTCCTTTCATTTGCACCATACTGTATAATGGTTATAATAAAACTGATAAACCGGTTAGATGTGTACAAACAATATCTGGATTTGATCTAGATTATTATATCTTGATAATTTTAAAAATACTAATAAAATTGATAACGATAATAAATTGAACATATTATATGAAAAAATACAAGTATAAATCGATATATCATTATGAGCGTATTTATAGACAGTTGTAATTAACAACCATTCTTTAAACGGCTACTTAGCATAAACAAGCATAACAATAACAATGCACAATAATTGCGCACCCTACCGGACCAAACGTCAACCAGCCGACCAGAAACAGTCCAAAGCATACAGTGTGTACGCATACAAAAAAATGCGCCTGGCGCCAAAAGACTCAGATACTTTGTAAACAAGATACATTTACATTATCCAATGCCTACTCTGATAAGCGCTTATTATAGTGACTTTCTGAGACATTGTTTAATCAGTATTCATCGACATCTCTTAGATAGATATAGAGATAATTTCATCAACGAAGTTATTGATAAATTTGCTCAAGACTCTATGAGAATGACATTTTTGGTTGAACAAGATTATGATTATTATCACGTGCAATTTTTTATTGTAATTTTGGCTATAAACAGAATACCTATGTGGTATCAATTCAATTAATTTTCTTTTTTTTATTCCATGTTTTATGTAGAATAATAGTAGATTATATTTCGAAAGAGTAAAGTGCATATGATTTTTCCAGAGGTGGTTTTGTAGCCAGAGGGTGCTACAATGCACTGAGGGAAGAAAGAACTCACTTCCGAGGTTTATATACCATTTTTCATTTTTTGCACGACTCGACGATTTTGATTGAGAGAATCTTATGATAAAATCAATTATTGTCAATATGAAAATGAAAATCTGAACACAATAATCACAAAATCAAGTTATTTGATTATCATGACTACCGATGAAGAAGAGTAGCCAGTGCTTTTTTTTGCTTTATTTTGTCGGGCAAGAATCAACCCCACAGGCCCCCTTTTTCGGAATTTCGAAAAAAATTCATAACTTTTTCAAAATACACGTGGATGGGAGTTTTTTTCTGTGAATGTATTCCTCTGATGGTACTTAATAATATGTTTATCTCACAATATTTTGTCGGGCAAGAATTAACCCCATAGGCCCCCTTTTTCGGAAATTCGAAAAAAAATCATAACTTTTTCAAAATACACGTGGATCGGAGTTTTTTTCTATGAATATGTTCCTCTGATGGTACTCAATAATATGTTTATCTCACAATATTTTGTCGGGCAAGAATTAACCCCATAGGCCCCCTTTTTCGGAAATTCGAAAAAAATTCATAACTTTTTCAAAATACACGTGGATGGGAGTTTTTTTCTATAAATGTGTTCCTCTGATGGTACTCAATGATATGTTTATCTCACAATATTTTGTCGGGCAAGAATTAACCCCATAGGCCCCCTTTTTCGGAAATTCGAAAAAAATTCATAACTTTTTCAAAATACACGTGGATGGGAGTTTTTTTCTATGAATGCATTCCTCTGATGGTACTCAATAATATGTACATCTCACAATATTTTGTCGGGCAAGAATTAACCCCATAGGCCCCCTTTTTCATAAATTCGAAAAAAATTCATAACTTTTTCAAAATACACGTGGATAGGAGTTTTTTCCTATGAATATGTTCCTCTGATGATACCTAATGATATGTATATCTCACAATATTTTGTCGGGCAAGAATTAACCCCACAGGCTCCCTTTTTCGGAATTTCGAAAAAAATTCATAACTTTTTCAGAATACACGTGGATGGGAGTTTTTCTCTATGAATGTGTTCCTCTGATGGTACTCAATGATATGTATATCTCTCAATATTTTGTCGGGCAAGAATTAACCCCACAGGCCCCCTTTTGCAGAAATTCGAAAAAAATTCATAACTTTTTCAAAATACACGTGGATGGGAGTTTTTTACTATGAATGTATTCCTCTGATGGTACTCGATAATATGCATATCTCACAATATTTTGTTGGGCAAGAATTAACCCCACAGGCCCCATTTTTCGGAATTTCGAAAAAAAATCAAAATTTTTTCAAAATACACGTGGATGGGAGTTTTTTTTCTATGAATGTGTTCCTCTGATGGTACCTAATAAAATGTATATCTCAAAATATTTTGTCGGGCAAGAATTAACCCCACAGGCTCCCTTTTTCGGAATTTCGAAAAAAATTCATAACTTTTTCAAAATACACGTGGATGGGAGTTTTTGGATCATCAGAGGAACACATTCATAGGAAAAAACTCCCATCCACGTGTATTTCGAGAAAGTTATGAATTTTTTTCGAAATTCCGAAAAAGGGGGCCTGTGGGGTGAATTCTTGCCCGACAAAATATTGTGAGATATACATACCATTGAGTACCATCAGAGGAACACATTCATAGAGAAAAACTCCCATCCACGTGTATTTTGAAAAAGTTATGATTTTTTTTCGAAATTCCGAAAAAGGGGGCCTGTGGAGTTAATTCTTGCCCGACAAAATATTGTGAGATATTCATATTATTAGGTACCATCAGAGGAACACATTCATAGAAAAAAACTCCCATCCACGTGTATTTTGAAAAAGTTATGAATTTTTTTCGAAATTCCGAAAAAAGGGGCCTGTGGGGTTATATCTTGCCCGACAAAATATTGTGAGATATACATATCATTGAGTACCATCAGAGGAACACATTCATAGAAAAAAACTTCTATCCACGTGTATTTTGAAAAAGTTATGAATTTTTTTAGAAATTCCGAATAAGGGGGCCTGTGGGGTTAATTCTTGCCCGACAAAATATTGTGAGATAAACATATTTTTGAGTACCATCAGAGGAATACATTCATAGAAAAAAAACTCCCATCCACGTGTATTTTGAAAAAGTTATGAATCTTTTTCGAAATTCCGAAAAAGGGGGCCTGTGGGGTTAATTCTTGCCCGACAAAATATTGTGAGATATACATATTTTTAGCTACCATCAGAGGAACACATTCATAGGAAAAAACTCCGATCCACGTGTATTTTGAAAAAGTTATGATTTTTCTTAGAAATTCCGAAAAAGGGGGCCTGTGGGGTTAATTCTTGCCCGACAAAATATTGTGAGATATACAGATTATCATAGACCCTCAGAGAAAATCATTGATGTAAAATAGTTTCATCCATGGACATATTTTGGAGGTTTAAGTAATTTCATGGCCAGCCATGAATATAAATTGATAATGAACGACCGTTGGTGGTATGGCGCGCGCCTTGAATATTAGGCGAAGTCGTGGCTGGAACTCGTGGCTGGTTTCACACTGATCTCTGTATACCCTGTATTCTCGCTTCTATTGGTGTAAAATCGCTTATATAGGTCGTGCAAAAACTGTTTTTTATATATGTAGTGAATATTGTACTTTATTCATTGTGACTTGCCCCTCCCTGAGATTATTTCTGCGGACGCCCCTGCCAAAAGTGGCGCTTTGAATTTTGAACTCCGCATCAGCTTATTGGCATTATTAGCTGAAGACCGTTGTTGTCTTGAAAATAATTCAGAATTGCAGAATAAAAAACAATAATATAGTAAGTAAGTATTGATTTCTTCAGATTTTTGTTTGTTTCTTTTCCTTTTGGGCTCTCATTTTTTCAATGCAGGGACATTTTGGGGCAAATCATCTGATTTGTCTCCACTACACAAATATCGAAATATTGATGAATTATTGAGATAATACTTAAACCTCTTAATCATAAAAACGAGTATTCAATATCAAGTATGTTTCGTTTCAAAAGTTTGTATCTACAATATGTCTTTAGAAAAGAATAATGAGAGATATGCCAGGTTCCTCATGAATCCTCTCAAATGCTTCTGTCCTGTCGGGACATTCAGGACGTCCATAGGACATTCGAATTTGGTACCGTGGACGTCCATTGGACGTCTGTGGGACGCACAAATGTCCCACTTGAGGACCAACTAGGGACGTCCTTGAGGGATGTCCCTGGGACAACTATCGAATACCTAAATCCTACAGTATCCCTCATCAAGCACTACAGAGGCCATCCTTAGGATATCCATAGGACAACCTATCAGCAACGATGAGGGATATCAATTGGGTGTCCATAGGATGTCCCAGGGACGTACGAATTATTCTTGAATTTGAATTTTAATTTTTCTGGGTCCATCTAGGACCAGATCTTGCTTAACTGATTAGAACATCCAGTTGAGTTGATGGTCCGTAGAAGGTCCCCAAAAAGTTTCCCAAGGATGTCCAATGGACTTACGTGAAGGACATTGAAAAGGAGTACTTATAGCCTACGAGCAATCATTCGTTGGCGAGGTGTAAGTTAACGACAACATATTGAAAGTACCGACTGGGACGTCCATATGACATTATTTCTTGGACATTGAAAGAGTACAGTGCATG